ACCCCCTGGAACATCTGATATAACGAAATTCAACTTTGTGTTTTCAATCGAAAGAAAGCCTGTTCATAACGTAAAACTCTTGTCATTTAAAAGTCACTAATTGTTTGCAAATAGTAGGCAAAATTGCAGTGATATCTAACAGTTAACAACCAAGTCATATAACAATGGATCAATTCATCCTGCGATACTGCATTGTAATAGAAGCATTTTCCTTGGTTGTCTTATTCGTTTGGATGTCATAATTACGAAAGCCTCTGATTTTGACGACAACTCATTAAGTTGGAAAATTGTGGTTCATGTCTCATAGGCTCAGTCCAATATTTATCATCATCTGATGCTTTATACTCTCATAACTGTTAGAGTATGGAAGGCTGGACCATGTAGCGTACCTGTTGGCATAGGGCGATGTGATTCTAGTTTGAAAATAGTAGAACCCGAAAAAACTTACCAATATCAACAGTGTAGTCAGTGGCGCCAAATATGAGCTCAGGGGCCCTGTAGTACCGAGAACAAATGTAAGCAACATTTGGCTCGCCTTGTACCAGTTTCTTTGCACTGAAAACAGAACGAGACCTTTCAGGATAAATTTCATACAAATAAACAAAGAATATCTTTGCACTGAAATATCATTAAAAAAATACTCAAACAATCCAGACCAGGGCATGAATATCACTGAATGAAATAAAGGGATATTATATTTAAATGACAATAGAGACCGGCATCGCCTAGAAGGGACTTGATACGTTGGTGTCTGTCAACAATGACTCAATGAATGTTGTAAAATAGAATGGCAAACCATACAGCGACGATTTGAAGACATTTAAATGCACTAGGTCGAATAATTACGCGTTTAGGAAATATTGATGTCCTTAAAGCACATGGGAATATAATAACAGGGTTGTCAAAACCAATATTTGAACAAGAGACGTAATCGAGCCTTCTTAGCAGAGCTAGCAAATAAGCACTAGAAAAGCTAAGAAAAGAGTAATAACGAAGGTAACAAGTGATTAACAATCATCCGTACAGTTAAAACTTTTTTCGCAAAATACTAGTATAAAATCCTATCGAATGCGTCAAAATTTGCCAAGATTCTTGCAGAACCCTGACAAAATGTCTGTCAGCTGTTTTATTGTGGCTGCTCATAAACGTGGGAGGGGGGGGAAGGGTGATATCAAAAGAGAAGAGAATAACTGGCTGAAAAAGCTTTGTCATTCTGAAATGACTAGTTGGTTGCCAGGCATGGCAGGTTAAACTCGAAATGTAAGTTACCTGCCAGGCACGGCAGGTAAATGTAAGTTGCTTTGCTTGATAACAATGGAGTTGAAAATGGAGTTACAACAGGCTGAGATCAATATTAAGTTATGATATTAATATATAATATTTCATAGTCAGACTGGATTAAACTGACAACGACGGGCTGGAACGAACCTTCCGAAATCACAAAGCTTGAGAACGGCAGTTTCTGGGTTTAGAAGCAAGTTTTGTGGCTTAATATCTCGATGACAAATTCCAGTTGAATGGATGTAGGATAACGCGCGAAACAGTTGGTACATGTACAGCTGAAAAAGAATGAAAGCTCTGATAATCTTCGTTGAACGCAGAAAGAAAGGCGTAAAAAGCCTCAAATATTTCACGAATTAAATTCAAAGTAATTCACAAGCCACTTCACGTGTTTGACTGAACAGATTAGCTACTATTTCAAGGAGTTTTGTCATTTTTTTAGGCATACACGAGGACCAAACCCATCAATCTTTGTTTCTATCGTTAATCAAGAGAACTCAACTCGAAATCTTTCAAAAACTTATGAAGTGTGATACTAAATTATATTACAGGTGATGCAGGCTCTGTCTGACGAAAGCTAAAGAACTGCATTGAAACCATCTAAACCAGCTTTTAGGGGATTCAAAGAGAATTCTAAATGCCAGGTTGATCAAGAATAATTCTGTATTTCACACATAAATGATCTGGTCAATAATATACGCTATCTTAACGCTTTTTTATCGATGAGACAGCCTAATTTTATTTGATTACGCTTTATGTTGAACTTCACAAACAGAGAATGTTCAACCTGACGTGCAAATCATTTCAATGCAAGCAAGTTTGCTATCTTTTGCGACATCAGAACAGTCAATGACATCTTTGAATATTTCTGTTAAGTGAAATCGATTCATTCTCATTCAGCACCCGTTTTGAAGGAAATCTTGTGACGTCAGACGTGTTCATATTCTCAGGGATGTTTGTCGCAAGCTTTGATAATAATTAACTTTGATTAATAGTTTGTGGATGTAAATTGAACATCTAGGAAGAGTGAACAGAAGCACACTGCGAAAGAGCGTAAGCTAAAAAGAAGAGCCAGCTGGTCGTTTAAACGCCTGACCTAAGCAAAAAATATCTCTTTAATATTTGGTCTATCTCTTTAGTTTAAGGAGTTACATAACAAACTTATGAAATTACCCTATTTGAAAGACATAAAAATGAAATACACCTGAATAAAGCTGAAACAATATAAAACAAAAACAACAGCGGTATTTACACTTAGTGAGCAAAAGTATTGCACAGGCTGAAACAGAAATGGCCGCACCGCAGCAAACAAATTTAGCGAACCAAAATTCAAGTGGCTATAGCAAGTTTCACAAAAGTTATAAGATGACTTTTCAACTGGAATATGTTGGAAAATTTCTCAAGGTTGAAAATTGGGAAAATAGTAAATGCAAGAAAATTCTTGATTTTTTGCCTATTTTTAAACAATATCAACTATTTCAAGGAGTTTTGTCATTTTTTTAGGCATACACGAGGACCAAACCCATCAATCTTTGTTTCTATCGTTAATCAAGAGAACTCAACTCGAAATCTTTCAAAAACTTATGAAGTGTGATACTAAATTATATTACAGGTGATGCAGGCTCTGTCTGACGAAAGCTAAAGAACTGCATTGAAACCATCTAAACCAGCTTTTAGGGGATTCAAAGAGAATTCTAAATGCCAGGTTGATCAAGAATAATTCTGTATTTCACACATAAATGATCTGGTCAATAATATACGCTATCTTAACGCTTTTTTATCGATGAGACAGCCTAATTTTATTTGATTACGCTTTATGTTGAACTTCACAAACAGAGAATGTTCAACCTGACGTGCAAATCATTTCAATGCAAGCAAGTTTGCTATCTTTTGCGATTGCTTTGTAGCCGTATGTTTCATTACTTTGAAAATACAAATGCAGTAGCTATTTACGTGGCAACGAAAAACAAACAATATTGAAATGGAAATATTTCAAAATTATTTGATACTCTACAAAGATGCTACTAATAAACTTGTAAACTTCTATCTAATAAACTTCTAAACTTCTATCTAATTAACTTGTAAACTTCTATCTAATAAACTTCTATGTTACTAATAAACTTCCAAAAACATCGTGCATACCTTGATGTAGATCATAGGAATAGTCTGCTTGTTTCGGCTGTAATGTCTAGCCACTCTGTAGACTGTTTCTGGGACATATTCAAGTACCAGGTTCAGGTAAACTTCATCTTTCTGCAAAAGCAGAATTGTAAATCAAAAGTAACAATCTTCGATGAAATCTTTTTCCTTTTCTGTACATACCTGATAACAACTATCAATTGACAATTTACATCATAAACATAATTCTTCTTACATTAAATCTAATGATAAAGTTGTTGAAAATAAGTTATATATAAATAACAATAACATTTCCTAAAATGGGATAAAAGTACCAGAAGTAGAAAAGATTCAGTTAGTGAACTGGCATGGATTTTGGCATATATAGTGGAAGGCAACACTGGTAAATACAAAGTGTACATAGTTCAAGATCTATTATTAGAAATCCATCAGAAAGGTATAATGATAAAGTTTATGTTCCTTCGGAAAGGGTTCAGTAAAACTTAGTAAAAGGAGAGAGATATATAAAAAAAATTTAAGACATAGGATTTGCTGATGAGAAAGATACAATATATATACATGGGTAAAAGGGTGGTAAATGTAGAAAAAGAAGAGTATCAGAAAGACCATTAAGAATTGAATGCATTTGAGAATGAATATAAAAAAATGAGGAGAAAACAGCACTGCTTAATTGAGGAAGCCTAATGAGGAAGCCCAATGAGGAAGCCGAAAGAGCTACACCCAGGCCGAGAACTTTTGATTGTTTTTCTGATGAAGGTTTTTAGAGTTTAAGGGTGTTGCCCATAGAATGGATAAACGAAAATAATAGTATGATGCTACAGATCTATTAAGAGATTTGGTGATATATTTAGTTTTTTTGCCATCAATCAAGGAGAGAAATCAATGAATGCAGAAAGTAACTAAAATGAGCTCTTATGTTCATAACAAGGGCTGGCACATCATAAAGCAACAAATCAGCATGGATAAACCTAGAAACAATCAATGTTGCTTTGGAGCCTTTCACTCATTAAGCACAACACATACCTTTTCTCCACTAGTATGAAAGAAGTACTCAAGCTTCACAATATTACAGTGATCCAACTGCCGCATTATCTGTAGCTCTCTATTCTGTGGAAAAAAATCAAAAAGTGTCCGTAGAGTTCTTTTACAACACATAATCTTGAACAGCTGTTTTAGTTGAAAAGTTAGCTTTAAGGAAGTACCTAACCAAAAGAAAATACAGAATCTTGTATTTTTATGGGATAATGGAGCTCTTTACTGGAGGGTGCGGTTCTGCTTAGCTAATAAGATCTGACAGTAAGCATGGTTAGAGGCAGTCTGTCCCCTAATGTAGTCAAGTTTATCTTCACTGTGTAAAATTGATTCTTGGGAGAAATTTTTGAATAACCAGTGATAGCAGCCAACCAGAGATGACAATGGATGGCTGACGTGTCATCGTTCATACCAGCCATTTGCTGAGAAAACAGAATCCATTATGAATATGAAAGAAAACTGATTTTTTGAACAACAAAAAACACTTTGAAACTCTTGAATACCTTACAATATATCAGAAGCAACAAAATATAATTTGGATAGCTCACCTTGAACCTTTTGTCCTGTAAAACTTTTTTTATTGCAACTAAGTCTCCAGTCTCAAGGAGACGTGCTTGGTATACAACACCAAATGATCCATTCCCAATTACTTTTGTATCACAGTAGCTGATCTCATGGGCCTGATCAGGAGTTGTACCTGTTGTGGCTATCACAGTTGTTTCTCTTCTGCCATCTTTATCTCCTAAATTTATAAATAAAAATGATGTCAAAAGAAAGAACAATTGCCATGGAAATGATAAGAAATAACTATGTTTTGATTGAAAACTTATCGGGATTCAGAAAACTAGATTTAGATTTGGCCACTTGCCTTGAGGAACATTTTATTTAACACTATTTAGCTTACCCGATTGAAGTATCTGTTAATTTTCATAAAACATCAACAAAAATAAATTTAGTGATGAAGAAAAAAAAGTGCACAAAGTTTTTCATAAATTAACTGTCAAAAATGCATGGATGAGGATGCAATCAAAATGTATTGAAGAAAAAAACAAGGTTATTATACAAGTGAGAGTAATGAAAACAAATAGTGCAAAATACCATGTTTTTTTCTAAAATAGGTACAAAAGGTTATAATTAAAAAGATTAGGGATGGTGCAGAGAGACACCATCTTATATTTGAGTACTATGAAGGTCTTACTTGAACTACTTATTCAGATTTTTGTTCAGAACCATGTTAAAACAAAAAAAAAGAATTGCTTGAAAACCATTGAGCATGAAATATTACTTGACAGTGCAAAACAATTGAGTAGTGCTAAGCAGAAGAATGAGACAGCTGCAGATGATATCAGTTCTGATCAAGGTGTTTTTAGCTTGATCTGAATTGCAACATCAGTAGATATTGTGGGTGTCATATCAAGCCTTTAAACTGAGAGACAGTGCTATGCTAAACTTGGGTTTTAATGCAAACATTTATGAGAAGATGGGAAAGAGATAGCATAAATCCTCAAATGAGTGCTATATGGTGGTGATTTGAAGCGTGCATTGATTGTTTACAATTATTATTTAGATCAAAGCAACAAAAAAACCAAATTGTTGCATCCTCTTCCTAAACAGATTCACATTCATGCACTCTGGATATTCCATTTCCACATTATTACTCAACTGTGATTTCAGATTTCTGCCCTTTAACTGGAATGCCCTCCCCTGCATAGAATAAATACTTGCATTGTTAAAGGTAGGGACATAAGGTAGGTAAAGAAGTTGTCCTCCTCAAAGTCTTGTGATAGTACAGTGTTATGGCCTTGTGATGGTGCCTGAAGACTTTTATATTTGAAGGGCCTTTCCCAACAGCTGTCCTTGCCATCCCCATGGGCAGTAATCAAAAATAAAAGGGGCAGTAGTTCTGTAGGCATTAAAAACTATATGACTGAAAAAAGAATGCTGTAAATTGGCCATTTGCTAAACCCCATATGCAAGTAAAAATAATAAAAAGGAGTAAGTATGAAAAATACAAATCAATGAAGAAGAATAAAATACCTAGAGAAGTCTTAATAACTTGCAAATAAATTTGATGGAACAAGACATAAACCATGGTGTTGTTCAAAAGCAAATCAAGACTTTCAGAAACCCAACATTTTGAAGCCTCTTCATCCTTATTAAAAATTAATTGTTATTTGACCTGAATGTTCAAGACAGCTGGGTTTATCAGAAAGCTTAAATTTCAGTACCCTGTCTTGGCAAAAAGCACCTATATGACAAAAAATTCCATGACAAAATTTTAGTTACAAGCTTTCATCAACACCAGAGAACAATATACAAAACCAATAAATACACTGATCGATCAATTAATCAGCTGAATGGGTTTTTGCGTATGATTTTTAAGAGGGTGATAATCATAGGAATAAAACCTGGTTTCTTATGTACCAAAGCATTCATCAATGAAAATTGCCAGCAGTAGTGATTTTCAGATTGGTAAGACGAACATGGTGAATTTTGTGAGTCAACTATTCGAGAAGCCTTTTCTTTCTGTATCAAAGAACAAAACATGAATTGAAGGAGAAGGAGGCGATGTCAACAGACCCCCATAATACTCTCCAATGACTGCTTGTGGTATCCAAAAAAACTCACAATAACTGATAATATCTTTGCTTGCAAAGAGGTGACTAGTGAAGTTGCTAAGGTAACTTGAACAACTGGATGGAATAAGATTGAAAAAGATAGATCATACAAAAGACAGATACCAGCTGGCACAGGCAAATTTTTTCGAGTTTCCACATAATTTCAACTGTCTAGCAATTTTACAAAAGACTTCTGCCTAGGCTTTTGTAAAATTGAAATATATAAATATATATTTATTTCTAGCATAGTTAATAAAGCTGCTTGGCAAGGCCAGTTTGTAAACAACAGAGAGCATTTTTAACCATCAAAATATTCAGATTTCAGCAATTCACTTCTAAGTATCATGATATCCTGGGATGCATTTACATTAAATATAAAACCATGAAAAAATAGAATTTTTTAGTAAGAAGTGAAAGAAGTTTTAATTCCTAACATACTTGTGATTCTTTGAAAGTTACTTAATTTTTAGAAACAGGTCACAAGAGTTTATTCCAGGAGTGTTTTTCCAGAAAGTGTCAAAATTGTATTGCCAATTTTAAATTCTTGAACAACATCAAGTCAGATAATTAGATTTGACTATCTTGTGGTTGAAATATAAGAAATATACAGTGTTTGTATATCAATTTATCATTAAAAAATTGCATATGATTCTTATTTAAAGTTGAATTGACAATGCTCAACCTATCTTACACCTACATCTGACATGAATTAATGTATATACTAAATCATACTTATTTTCGAAAAGAATACATAAACAGTTTACGCTAGATATCTTTGGCAAGTAAATTTCATTCAGTTGATAACAAAAGAAAAAAGAAAATTAATCTTAAAAAATTGCACAGATTTTGATCTATGCAACACAGACTTTAGCAGGGATGTGATCCAAAAACAAGAGAGTTAGAAGAGATTCAGTTCTTTACCATAATCTACATCAAAGCAGTTGCAAATAAAGGTAAGAAGAAAAACCAAATTATGACTTGCCACGACGATTGTGGCCTAAGCTTAATTCGACACGCTGCATGCACCATCTCTCGGTAATTTCTGGCTTTATCGAAAGATACGCGAAACAAAACTGTTTTGAATATTCGCTTTTCCTATTTTTTGTGAGAAAAATAAATTCTTACTTAATAAATGCAATAATTCAATCAACACATTTACAGGTATGTCAACTTGGCTTTGCATATGGAGGTCGATTCGCGAGGACGCCAAACAGGGCTTGTCGAAAGCCGCCAGCAGGGGGGATCACAAACAGTGAAAATTTTTAAGTTTCTTTATTAATAAACTGTAAAATTCTGAATCAAGAGAGTGGGAATAACTTATGAAAATTCGGCGTGGAACAATTGTTTAACGGCGTTTGAAGTTTAATACGATTAATGACTGGAAAACTTGTGGCGTAAAGCCATTACAGACTATTTCAAATTCTTAAAAATTGTCAGATTTGATATATGATATCAGTGCGATCAAATGAAATAAAAATTCAATAATCTGCCTTTACTTCCTACAATATTCCATAAACCAGGTTTTCATGATGCAAGAATCGTTTACGCCTTCACAGCACATTTGGGAAAACTTAAAATTCAACATGGCAGATAATACAAAGCACTTACGGTTGACTTTAACTCCCAAGGAGCCCGGTGAGGGTTGCGACTTGCCCTGTTCATGGACCATCGAGGTTGTTCTTGGTCTCCCGCTCATAACGTGATATGGATCTTCTTGAGGAAACAAAAAGCTGCTTGCAGCTCAATTACATTCCCAAAATCTGCAGGCTACTCAAGTAGCATAAGAGTCCCGATCTTTCTCCAAGCAATTAATTTGGCCTATTGCAATTAAGCCAGCTGTATCTCATGAAGAAGATGTCGGAAATAGATATATTTGAGTGGAAATGGATCACCAAAGCCTCTTGTGTTTATTTTCCATTAATATAGCATTTACTTTCAGCTATTTTGCTCTCGATTTCACCACATATTGCCTTGTTTTAACTTTATCCCAAATTTCAAGCCCCAGAAATCACAATGGCTGCCCAGCTCTTGATAATACCCCCAGCGAAGCTCACGACCAATAGCAACACTGCCTATGAAAAAACCTTATCCTGTGGCCATGGTAAAAGAGGCTAAAACATAATGACAGAACTACAGTCTCTTAAATTCCTGGTAAATTCATAGCATACAGCCAATTTTATAAGGTTTTGTTGCCAATACAGGCACCGCAGAGCGTTGAGAAAAGCGGGGGGTTTAAAAAAGTAGGGAGGAGGTGCTAAAAGGGTATAAACAGAGGCTTTACTGTTAGGTTATTACTTAGTATTTAGCATTTTTTGCTAAAGCCCCCACCGCCCCCCTGCTCCGCGGTGCCTGCAATAATCTGTTTAAAGACACTTCATCAGTCGCAAACGACTCTAAACAAGAGGTGCCAGCAATGCAAAGAAAATCTACTCTCAACCCCTGCCCCCGTTGCGGTAAAAAAGTTGCTGACGCTGTGATACTTGTGAATTTTGTTTGAATAGTATATTGACTACTACGACAAAAGTAATATTGCAACACCCAAACGAAAATGGCATCCAAATAAATTGAAGTTTTGTAAACTAATATCTTTACGCTGAAATATTCCCCTTAAAAGAGAAAATAATCAGGCTAAACCAGTAGTCAAATTCTTTGAAATTTATCGAGGATTGCGAAATACTCAGAATTACAATATTAACCTAAGAAATATTACAGTTATAAGAAAAAGTATCTGCAGTGGTAAAATCAAAATATCGAGAGGATAAGCAGCTAGTAGTTGTGATAAAACTTCGTATAACTGGTCTTTTACTTCTAAAGATTTCGAAACTTTTACAGAAAATGAAAGCAAAATAGTGAGAGATCAGAAAACAACAAATTAGTCAATATTCCCGACTTCTTTAGCCCCGAAATTTTCCATTTTACCTTGGGTAATTTTTTTGGGTACAGTTAGGCCCATATACAAAAGAAATTCTACTCTCAACCCCTGCCCCCATTCAGCAAAAAAGTTGCTGACGCTGTTATACTTGACGTGAATTTTGTTTGAATGTACTGGGGTACAACAGTATGGAAACGATAGTCAATAATGGCGGGTCACAATGGCCAAGGGCCTAAGGCGATAAATTTCCTA